TTCAAGGGATTGATTTTTTGGAAGTTTTTAGTCCAGTAGTTAAACCTGCTACTATCAGGTTGATCCTCACCATTGCTCTATCCAAAAATTGAAAAATTAGGCAAATTGATATAGACAATGCCTTTCTTCATGGTGAACTTGAACCTGGCACTACCATTTACGTGAAACAGCCTAAAGGTTTTGAAGTTCTTGGCAAGGAAGATCATGTTTGCAGATTAGACAAGGCATTATATGGCTTGAAACAGGCTTCAAAAGCCTGGTTTGAAAAGTTAAAGGGTATTCTTCTTCATCTTGGTTTTCACAGCTCAAAAACTGATAGTTTCCTCTATTTCAGACAACAAGAAGGCATCATCATTTATGTCCTTGTTTATGTTGATGACATAGTCCTCACAGGGAGTTGTTCACATGCTGTAAACTCCTTAATTCTTCAGCTTCAGACTTTCTTCTCCTTAAAAGGCCTTGGAGACATGTCTTACTTTTTAGGCATTGAAGCTCATTACTCCTCCAATGGCATTCTTTTAACACAAACTAAGTATCTCAAGGATCTTCTAGCAAAACTGAAGATGACTGAAGCCAAATCAGTCAACAGTCCACTGTTCTCAAGCCCTTCACTTTCTAAACATTCTGGTACTCCCTTTTCAGACCCTAAACTCTATAGGCAGGTCATTGGTTCACTTCAATACCTTACAATCACAAGGCCAGATGTCTCTTTTTCAGTTAATAAACTTAGTCAATTCATGCAAGATCCATTGGATTCCCACTGGAAAGCTGTTAAAAGAGTATTGAGATATTTATCAGGTACTCAAGATCATGGTCTTCTCTTTTCAAAATCTCAGCACCTATCCATTACAGCCTTTTCAGATTCTGATTGGGCTTCTGACATTGATGATTGAAAATCTACATCAGGCCATTGTATTTTTGTTGGCAAAAATTTCATCTTGTGGAGCTCAAAGAAATAGCAGACAGTATCAAAATCAAGAGCTGAAGCTGAATATCGAAGTTTGGGATATGCTATGGTAGAAGTTCTATGGCTGCAGTCCTTATTGCAAGAGTTAAAACTCAAATCTTCTCTTCCACCTGTTATTTGGGTTGACAATTTAAGTGCGAGAAAAAGGTTCTATCCTCGGATTCGCAATAGCGACAAAGAAAAAGGAAGGGGTGGATCTATGTTCCAGACCAGGGTGATGTCAGAAATAACGGGTCACCTTAACCAGTCATACCTATACCCATTTATGGAGATTCAGGTTTATATGTCTACTCACTCTGTTGTTCAAGCTCGCACAAAACACATTGAAGTCGATCTTCATTTCATACAAGACAAGGTGCAGTCCAAGTCCATTCTTGTTAATCATATTCCAGCTTATGATCAAGTTGCANTTAACTATTGTTAGCCTCAGTCCAAATTAGCTGTTAAAGTCCAGCAACCACATAATCTACATGGCATGGATGGGCCCGTTATTTTTCCATGCAAGCAGATATTTTGTCTTCTTGCTTTATGTGCTAGTCATATCAACCTAGGTTTTAGGGATCTTGTCTTATATAAATAGAACATTGATCCTTTGGGAACATACAATGAATGAGCCGCCACTCTGTAATTATTCTCATGAACAGAGCACCTGAAAGGGTTTTTCATTTTTCTATGATTTTTACCATCGATGCCAACAACTATTTTTAGCTATAAGGTAAATAATGATAATTTGAAGGCCCTTGATTTTATTCTGAATAATATGATGTATTCTTTTAAAGAGAACCACTACAATAAAATGGTAAAATACCAATATAAATATATTTTAATGGAGTTCCAACAATTCCAATTGATATTACAACGCAATCATTTTCGTTGAAATTTTTAAATGGATACCAATATAAATTCCAACAAATATATTCAGTTGCAATGAGTTTATCATTAGAATTTTCGTTAAACTTTGACGTTTCCAACTGGTTGGTCGAACATAGCCGCAGGAAAGCAGAACGGAGGTCGAGCGCCAGTGCGCAACATGGAGCTTCAGGTTGAAGGAGTCGTGAAAGGTCCAAAGGGGCGACGACAGGTCGAGCTAGGACCCTCGGATGGACTGTTGGAAACTCGACCATAATGTATGGTTGGTCAGGGGATCGACTAGAAGGACAACACCTAGGATCGAAACATGCATCATTCTACCTCAATAGGATTCGAGCTTGTCGCACCATTAAGCTGTCTAATGAGAAACATAATTGATAAGAAGGAATATTAACAGGATAAGAACCCGACGTGGATAGGGTCACTTGCCCTAACAGAATTAGGCAGTTTGGGCAGTACCAACAGGAAGTTCGGGCAGCCTACTCGGGCAGTCTTGGGCAACACGGTTTCATCTCCCTTTATATATAAGGGAGTGAGGTATGCCCTTTGTCACATACATTCTCTATACTCACTGCATACATACAACACTTCATCTTATACACAGTGCTAACTTAAATATCGAAGGTCTTCATCGCAAAACTCTCTCGGTGTGAGTCTCTTTGTAGGTCTCGAGAACGTTCAACTGGTGGAGAACTCAAAGCAGGCCGAATAAAGCCGGTCGGAGGTCTTTTGTATACCAAATCATAATTGCCATACAATATTCAACTACTTAACTATTTCTTTTACAAATTAAAACATGATCATTTTTTTAGATAAATAGAAGATACAAAATATATATAATAAGAATAAAACATGCTAAAATTGAAATATGATCGTTTTTTAAAATCTATCTATATATAAAAAGGTTGTTGGATAAATCCTTTTTGGAAACTTTTGATCAAATAAATAATACCTTTGACATTAAATTTATAGAAAGCTTGAAAACAATAATTGTGTAGTTTATTATTCACGAAAAAATCACAATTTGAATTCAAAATTAATGGTGTAGAGATAATATTGGAACAATATAATCTTTGGATAACTCATGATGGAAAATCTAATCACTTGAGAGTAATCATATTATGAATTCAACGTAGCTTACTTATTCAAAACGTCCAAAATATGTCCACATCTTAACTAATTAATTTATTATCTATATATATATATAATAAGAATTACCATTTACCAAAAATAATAGCAAAAAAATAGGTTAGAATTTAATGCAGCTTATAAATAGCAAGTTTTATTATTTTTATTATTTTTTTTCTTTAAAAATCATACAACATTAAATTCTACCTTAAATTTCGGGTTTTAGTTCATTTTATTATATAAAAAATCCGGCTAAGATTTATTAAGTGTGTATGTTTTTATTTTTATTTTTTCTTAGAAATAACGAACAACATTAAAATCTCGGTCTCTATATTTATAAAATCTCAATTCAAAATATTAAAAAACTTTTAGAATCTTGGTCTTTATATTTGTGCCTTTAAAAAAATATATTGAACGCTAAAAATATTCTTAAATGGCATAATCAATCAATTAATTTTAAATTTTTGAAAGTTAATATGTTTATTTTTTAATAATATGCATAAAGTAAAAATAATTAATTCATCTTTAGATATATAATTATAATCTTAATATAATATCATTTGGTGTAGACATTTATTATGTGAATTATAAAATATTTTTATTTCATAAAATTAAATATATTTAAAGAAAATAAGAAAATTTCTTCAGATCAATCGGGTGATTGAATTAGGGTACTGTTTAGGTTGATTGAATTACTTTTAGGTGATATTTATGATAGTCAAAAAATTTGACACAACACGGTTGGTCCCAGGTGACTAAGTTATGTATCAGTTTGACCACACCAAATTGATTATTGAACCTAAATATAAATTTTATATTGAAAATATTTTACTACGTGAATGTGATGTAGTCTAAACTTCAAATAATCATATTAACAATACTTTTATGACAACATGTTTAATGATTTATGAATACTTATATATCATTTTACTAATAGTTATGTGAATTAAATAATATTTTATTATAATATTTATTAATGTACAGTAAATATAAGATTTTTAGAACTAGACCATCATCGAAACGATCAAACTATTTTATTAAATCATTTGTGGTTTGTTCAGATTTTAATTTATAAAAATTTTAATATATATATAAACAATTTATATATAATGTGTTACTTAGATATCTAAACATATTATAAATTCAAATGTTTAAATTAATTGATAAATAATTTATAAATCTCTATTTTATTTAAATATTTAATTTTATTTAAAATAATTTTAAATATAACAAAATTTGTTTAGAAAATCGTATCGATCCTACCAGTCTAACCGACTGGTATTGACAGATTCGAGAGCAAATATTTTATTCGAGCGAACTAGACTGGTTATAAACCGGTTCTCGGTGCATCCGGTCGGACACAGTCCGACCGGGTTTAATTTAAAAACAATGGATAAATCATGATTAATGTTATTTATATATTTAATTTATAATACAATCGTAATATTGTTTTCCTGTGCATCGCACCGGCCACGCACTAGTTTATATAACAAGAATGAAACAAACTTAATTTAGCAGATCTTTTTCCATATAAAAATTCCTTATTATTAATTTCCCTTTTGATTTTATTTTCTTTAAATATTAAGGTATAATTATAATATATTATTAGTTAAATATCTATATCTTATTCCTGGTTATTTTCTTCTCTTATTCGTGAGTTATATATTTATGCTATAGTTGTTTCTTTTCATTTATACTTATTCTGTTATTCATATAACTTATAG